AGCTTGCCCACAAATTGAATAAGACAAGCTGTTGAAGAAACTGTAATTCAGGCTATTCCCAGTGGACCTCTTTCTTGTTTACATTACACTTTCCTTTTTGTTTTTGAAAACTGGCATTAATTTTATTGTCTAAGGTAAATTAAGCTGTGCAGGAATGTTCCATTTGGATTATAGTTATAATAAATTTTAAAAGTACTGGCGTTGCTTTATCACTATTGTAAGTCATGATCCAAGAATTTTATGTTGAACGTGGATACTCTTTATTAATTACATTTCATCATTCAAGTGAAACAATCAGAAGTTTTCTTGTTACTCAAGTGTTTCTTGTACATAGTATAAAAATGCTACTTATATATATATATATATTTCATAAAGCATATAGTGTGGAATTGTACTTCTCTATTGCTTACTTTAAAATATGATAGAAATAGTATGGAATATTAATTTATTCACAATGCATCTTATTCATGTAAATTAATAGAAGTAACACATGGAAAGAACAAATTTTTCAAAGGTTGGATTGATCAACAGCACTCTTAACATATCTTGAATCTGACAGGTATAACTGACAGAAAAAGTCACATTTATGTAATAATGCAGCTTAAAATTGCATTTATCAATTGAATACTAAGAAACGCTGACAGTGGTTAAAGATTATCCTGCTTCATAATTGTTTCACTCAGCTTTTTTGAAAACATCTCACTCCATTTTTATCTAAATTGTGCTGGAAAGTCTACTTAATGCTCCCTTGTTAGTCTGGCTGTACAGTGAAACCTCAATGATCTGATTCTCAATAACTGGTTGTCACAGGTTAACTAACCTCCACAGATGTATCACACAGCTGTCAAAAAAAGCCAGTAAGTGAAATAATTGTAAACGTAAATATTTAAAAATCTATAATTTACATGGCATTTCACCAAAATCTTAAGTAAAATATATAACAAAATATGTAATGAAATAATAACTAAATCAACAAATAAGTGAATTTTGAACTTGTTACATGGTTTTCAATAGGACAGTTGTTCACCAAGTCACTTGTAAGACAAGAAGACAGTCACAGATGATATTTTTTCAGTAAACGAATGGCATATCAGTTGAATTAATGAAAACTTGAAAATTTCAAACAAAATCATTGATCAAATTATAAACAAAGTAAGCATATTAAAGATTTAAAATACTATTTTAAAATTAATACTGTTGGAAATATTTTAAGTCTCACACAAAATCAACAGTTTAGACTTACTATTTTTTTTCAAATGTATATAGCATTTCCAGAATATATTTTCTAATTTAACTTTTGTTACATTTCATAAATCTTGCTTCCTGGTGAAGATTCTCTCTCTCTGAACTAAAAATAAAACAATCTGTAATGTGTTTAGTAAAAAAAAAAAACTTTTGAGTTTAGATATATATATATTTTTACAAAGTAAAATAGATTGACTTTCAGGTAGATAACTATATATATATATATATATATTTTTATGTCAAATAATCATATAAAAGAAGTCAGTTGACCTTAAAATCATAATTTACTTACTAGGTGTGCAAACCTCAAAGTAACTTTCTAAATCACTATTTTGACTTTACTGCTTTTAGAAATTCCCACTGGTATAGTGTAAAATAAGAAATGTGTATATGTCAGACATGATCTTTTAGTCATCATCCAAAAATTCAAGCACATGAGCTTTCACTGAAATATTATAATTTTTATGGAACTAAATTTTAAATTTGTTAAATTATTGACTAATATTTGCAGCAAATATTTTAATTTAAAAAACAAACATATTTTTTGCTTAACAGGTTCTTGACAAAAAAAGTATGTACTACCAAAATGTTTTTAATATTAGTAAACAGATGATTCTCAACTGTATCTTACTCATAATCTAGTTAAAATGATAAGACTAAAAGCATTAAGTATTAATAAGTCTTTACAGATTTGTCAAGCTCATCTTAATTTAGTCACATATATTTTTTTTAACATGCACATTTTTTTAGTGACAAAATGTTTATAAATTTACTCTTTTAAATTAATTCAAAAGCAACTTTTTTACAACTTGTAAAAATAAAATGTATTTTGTACTTATGGCAAAATTAATAAGGCCATCTGCTGCTGTCCCTAATTTTAAACTACTGACTACAAAGAAAGTAGTCAGTCAGTAGCACCATGTCAGTCTTGCTAAGGGATTGACTGTCACTCTTATAATGCACCCACAGCTTAAAGTTTGGGAAATATTTGAAATCAGCTCTGAAATCTAGAGTTTTACCACACAGACATCCACTGCCTTAAAAATATAATGATCCAAAGGTAAGTTATCTTAATATCAAATGTTAAAACCAATTTTGTATGATACATGGGCCTGAATCAATTTTAACTACCTTTGTTGCTTAATACACATACAAATGCTTCAATTTTGTAGTTGAATGCTCTTACTTCCAGATAATAGTCTGAATAAACCATGGAATTATTTTTGTTGGTTCCTGAACAAGGTTGTTTCTAGGTAATGTACCCTTTTATAACTTACCAAAACACATTTCACAAGTAAGAAATCCAAAGAAAACATTTGTTTCCACCATACTTTCATAAAGTGTGCAATGGAAGGTTAATAAACATAAAAAGGCATATATTTTAAATGTCTATATATTTTTTTACATACAGTAATTATTGATATAGATTTCTGGATTAACTGATGACTTTGGAAAGTAAAACAAATTTTTATGGTTTATTATATAGTGAAATAGCAGTAATGTTTACAAATATATCAATTTCACTTAAAAACATAATGTAGGTAGTATGTGCATCGTACGAGAAACGGGATTATAAATTTTTGTATATAATACTTTACTCTCTCAAGCTTAAGCCCTCAGTTTTGTAAGTAAAGTTTAAGTTCTTTGTTTAACTAGTACAATTCTCTCCAATGTTTAACAAGTCCTTAGAAGAGTTTTAAGACAATTAACTACCCAGTAAAGACAAAAACTGATGAACGACCTACCCTTCGTAACTCATCATTCTGCCATCCAAGGATAGGAACCTAATGTTTATCCAAGTGTAAGGGTTCCTGCTTTGGCCCACTATATTATACTTTTGATGTTTCAGCCTGGCTTTGGCCAAAAGTCTTCAGGAGAAAGATTTAAGCCACCCCCAGTGTGTGAGGCTAAGGGTAAAGTCAAGAAAGGTCTGGACCACTTTTATAAATACTTCAGATAGATCACCATCTGAAATGAACAAATTCAGATATAGGCAATGGCTGATGCTAAACCCGTCTGGCTCAATCAAGTGTCTTGATAAGGAGAGAAATGCTGGCAGTACTTGTCTAAGAGAAGTTAGACAAAGAAACACCAGTGGAGAAGCAGCATCACAGATTTACTGGTCAGTCATCCTCTTTACCTTTCCTGAATTACCATCAGGTAGGATAGTCACTGACTGTAAGGAAGTGTTTTCCTAACTATCAAGTGATGTTTCATTATGAATGTACACACTAAACTGTACAATATCCATTTGATTATTATAAATTTAGGACTGTTTGTTTATCACAAGATTAATGGGACTTAAACGGAGTTGTAACCCTTACTTTTTGAGCAATCAAGCAGAGTTTCACAGAATAATATTTAAAGGATATGGGGAACAGCTGCTCAATTATTAATTAAGATGGCTGGCATTAGTAGATGAATTGCCTAAAATATCATCAGTTTGTATGATTAAAGGTGAATGCTAGCAGTTCAAAAAAACTCAGCAAAATGTCATTGCAACACTCGCTTTCTAAATAGCAATACAATAACTTGATAATTTGGCTACTGGTGTTGGCAGATAAGACAAATTTATTTTACTATTGAACATTTTCTTTATTTTAGGTTGGTCCAAATGTTTACTGGTTTATGCTGTACTGACAACACAAATATTAATCCTGGCTGAAAAAATGTTTAAATGAAAAAGCTGAATTCTGATGGTGGTTATGTATTTTGTGATGCCAAAATAAATTCCAAAGAGTAATCCTAGACGCTTGTTTCCCTGTGTCCTGAGGACCAAAATGCTAGGTCCTTGGTGTCAACTGAGCCTTCAACTTTTCCGGTATCAGCACTAGTGACTTATGGATTGTATTACCTATTTGGGAGCCATCTTCTTAAAACTCTTTTAGTGCTAATTGTATTTCTGAATTCATGAAGAAATATAACTTTACTATTCTTCACTGATATTATTTTAACTTAGTACAAAATTGCAACACATTAGATACACTAACAGCAAAAACTTAAAGTTTTCCAATTTTGTACTAACATAATCAGTAACATGTTGCTGTTACCTTAAGAGTGAAAAATGTTAGACGTAGCTCTTCTAATCTGTGCATAAAATGTATTATGATTTCATCTAATGTCACTGATAGCTGACAGCAGTTACTTTAAGTTAAATATAAATTATTTTACCCTTCAAAACAATAATCTGGTAAATATCATCTTCCACATCCAAATATTTGTGAAGTATTAAAAACACTGGACATTTTCTTTCTTCTCAATAAACTAGGGGTTATCATATTCAGCATTCAAGTGTTCTGTGCATGAGTATACAAGACAAGTATACGTCACATTACCTTTCATGTTGATACCATATGTTATCAATAATATGTGCTAAAATATATATAAGGTGCATACAACTAAAAATGTATAAAAGTTGTTACTTTTTGATTACATTATTCTGTGTTTAATTAATATTGTTGACAAACGCTCATTTTGTTTTCTTGTATTATGATTTTATTACTAACTTAACCCATGTGTATGGTGGGAGGTGGGTCAATGCACCAGCACAATTCATTAAAGGTTAATGTTGATTACCTGTGATAAAAGGTACTTATCATGTAATATTGTTTTGTGAGTTTTTCCAGCATTCTGAATTAACAAAAGATTATACACAATGTGTTGGCACTATAATTTGTTATTCTGATCAAAGAGTTTACCTTCATGGGCACCATATACATATAAATGTCGTTACTCACCTGTTCTAAAGAGGCTTCTTTTTTTTTTTTTTATACTGAATCCTTGTGATTACATTCTGGTTTATGTGCTACTGTAGTGATGTCTTACCACCAAATTATTGTTAAAAAGAATTTTGCATCATAAAAAAAAATTTAATTTATGTCACCTGTTTGTTTGGGTTATATATGATGTGTTATTTGTCATTGTTAAATGATATTTTGAAAAGTGAAATTATGATTTGATCAATGTTAATGGGTTTATCTACCCTGTCTTTGTATGTGTTTATTTAATTGTTTTTAAGTTTTAAAGTTAGGGGTGGTCTGAAGGTAAAGTGGAGAGAGAAAAGGTGTAGTATAAAGGCCTACCTGTCTTCTACTCCTTCTTACATAAATTTTCATACATATAAGTGTACGTAGTTTAACAAAGAACATTGGTGAAGAAAGTAGCTAAGTTCCTTTTGCTTTAGTTACCTATTGTTTTGGATCATTCACCTATGTGTGCCTTCCCACGTAAAAGATTTTTGTAAAGTTGAAAATGGCATTTGAAAGTAGACTGTGATCTTTTCCACTGGTGAATTAGATGGTGCCTTGAGGATACTTCATCCTTAATATTTTTTATTGAAATGACCAATAGTGATGCAGAGATGACATTACAGAATTTTGAACACATCAATGTCTATTTTCAGTGATGTATGTAGCACGTGTCCTAGAGGAATGGAATTATAGAATTTTGTATATAATGCTATGCTCTCTCATTTAACTCACATTCAAGCTCAGGCCCCCAGTGTATTAAGTAATTAAAAAGTTAATTAGTTCTTCATGAGATTCATAACTAGTCTTTAGGAGTTTTGAGAGAGTCAATTTTGCAACAAAGGTGCCATCTTTCATCTTGCACACTTGTCAATTCTTGTCTATTCTCTTTCTCTGCTTTGAACTCAGTAAGCCATAATGAGAGTTTACTTTGATTTCTGTATGTTTAATGGTGAAATTATTTTTCATTGAGCATTGGTATATGTTACAGAAAGGAAAAAATATCAAGCCATCTGATCTGGCTAGAATCCCAAGTGTTAATAATTTCACAGTCTCTGAATCCCCTTTTCTACTTAAGAAATGCAAAATGCATTGGTGTATTTTATATTATAATTTTGTAAGAGCACAAAATTTTGAATAAATTAATCTAGTGATCATAAAAGTAAATTTATGCATCAAAAAATGCTATTTTTCTCAATCTTTCTAAACAAAAATCTAATGTGGAAATTACAAAACTAGAAAACTCCTATGAATAAAACCTAACTAAGGAAGTCTATATGGTTGTGGTTGTATGTTTTCATAGTGCATTTTATTGTTCAGTTTTTAAACTCTACATACAATGTTGTACTTTGAATATTCCTTATTTATTCTCACCATGGAGATTAAGGCTTACTAAGTAGTGTACTATACTGGTAATGACAAAAAATTCCACTTAAATATATATACACACACACAAAAGTTAGAGTTTATGTAAGCTGTAAAAAAAATGAAGTGATAATTATTAAAGATTAAAATTACCCCTTCATTTAGGACTTGTGGCTCAATTTTATTATAAAAATGCTCGATATAAACTTCAGTTATTTAAGTGAAATAGCATTTTAATTGAAATTGCAACACAAATTCCTAAGCTTAAACAAAGCTCAGCACATGATTAAAAGCTGTTTTAAAAACAATGAGCAACTTAATGGCAAAATCTTTATCAGAACAGTATAAAAACATTTGCACCAAAATATGTATATAATAAAAAAATGTTATGGTGCAAAAACATTTGTTTCCTTGTTTGAAGTCTTGGTCCTTCATAGTTAACAACACTAACTGAGTGAAGCAATAAATAATTTTAGCAGCGAGTGTCTTTCTAATATGATACTTCACTTTATCAAATGAATAAAATATATAAAAGTTACAGCAGTCTCTAGAAAAGGAATACATCACAAAGCTACTGTAACACACAAGGTTGTCTTCTGGCAGCCTACGAAGTAATGATCATTATAGTGTGGCAAAACTAAAACTGCTGTGATAATCTATTTCTTTGTTGTGTACTCAAAACGCTACAAATATTATTTAGAAATCCTATCACATCATACAGGTTTGAAGCATCATTTGAAACAGTTTAGCTACTATCTCATAAGCCGCAGAGTCCTCTTTAAGTTGTCAACTGAAACCTGGTGTCTGTGTCTTTCTTCATCAAGTCGTTGCTTTAGTTTTAGGAGTTCCTATAACCAATAGATAAAAACTAGTGGTTACATCATAAGTATGGATATTTTGTTGAAGATTTTCCACAATTATATATTTTTTATTGTACACAGGTTAGACAATTAACTCTAGTTATAATGCAATTAACTAAACTTACGGTCATATGATAATGAAGCCTTTCTGCATCAAGGTTAGCATCTTGATTTTTCCTCTTTAAGTATTGGCACCTTTCCACCAGAAATTCTTGTTCTTGCTTTTGTTCTGAAGAATTGAAAAACATTTTGTTTATTTAACTGATGCAATGTGTTATAAAAGCTGACTGGAAATGTGTACCTGTTGCATTATTCTTGTAAAATAAAATTGAAGTTTTAGGTTCTGTCTTAATATATAGTAACGAACCTGTGATTGGAGAAAAACTTGGGCTTATCTCAAACTATAATACATATTATTTTACAGGAAATACCAAATGTACCTCAATATTGAAATTTTTTATGTGTGAAAGTAACTTATTCTAGAACCTTTAGCCAAAAAAATCATCTTTTCATTCTAAGACACATACTCTAAAAATTGAAGGAATAAAAAACATGTAAGTCTTGAAATCTTTATATTATCATAACACTATTTATAAAACTCAGTCTTCACTTCAGGATTTTCAACTTTAAGACACCAAATGAGCTTTTTTTGTAACATTGCAAATAAAACTTTTGTAGTTATTAAGATCAAGCTTGAATCTGTTGAGCAATATTTTGTTTTCTCAGGATTCCTTTGTGTATCACTGACAAAGTTAAAAAAAACATTATATACAGAAAAACTACTTTAAAAGTTCAGCAACTATTTGTATACACGAGTGAATATATTAATCTGTAGGATGAGAAAAACCTCTTTTTAAAATATCACATTAAAAATTTTTAAAAGCTTCTTACTATAAAGAGTACTTATTAATTTCTCATAATAAAAAAAAGTTAACTGAAAGTATAGTGGATTAATCACTGTAACTAGATACCATTTATGGAAATTAATTTCACCTTTTAAGTAACATTCATAAGCTTCCATAACTATTTCAATCCCAGGCCAATGGTAGTTCTCTACTCTTTCAGAAGAGCATGTTGTTGGAGATGGAGTGACTCCTGTCCTACTCTCTGCTGACCACTGGCGACTTTGTTCAGCTGTATATAAAGATTTTTAACTTCTTTTTTAAGCATTCTTCAGTGCATTTCCATACTGCAGAATAAAATTACTTACAACCTGAATTCTTTATGAGACCAAACAGATTTTAAATTTTAATGAGTGGTTAACTACCAAGTGGATATGTTATTAGTGTTTAGTTTTAGTTGTAAGAGATGAAGTACAAGTTTTCCTCTTTACATGTACAAACTTCTCATTAACAAAGCATATACAAAAGTACTTGATCCCCATATGCATTTATGAGACTCACACACACAAAAGCAGTCCTAAATTTACATTTTCAGTTTCTTAATGGTTATCAGTAGATAAGTTTGCTAAGGCCAAATAAAAATGTGTGTGTGTGTGTGTGTGTTTCGTGTTACATCAATTTTCAAAATAGGGTAGGTTTGTAGGAAAATATTTTATTCTATAAAAATATTCTATCAAGCAATAAACCCATAATCTTATATATTATTATTATTATTATTAAACTAATTAAATTTATCAAATTAAAATATAAATGAAACTAATACAAAAATCAAATGAAAGGAGTGTATATACCTCTTGTACATATGATATAATAGTGGTACTAAATAACATGGAATATATTATTTTTCTTTGTTAATATAGCAAAATGATACTGATAATTTAAGACTGCACTACCTGTGAATGTAAAAAAGTTACACGAACTGCGAATTAATAAAACTGACTTTACCATTTGAGGCTTTAATCTTGCCATTTTTCTGCCATGCTCCACACAGTGAGGGAAATTGCAAACACACCCTTTACTTACTACAGGCTTTCTGTGTATAGGAAGCAGTGAAAGTGCAGCAAATCTGGAGGGCATGTGATGCAGCACTGAACAACATATTTACCAACCACATGGTGGAACAGAAAATCTGATTTTCAGAGATAATATTCAGTGAAAATGTTTATAACTGTTGACTGCTTCATATACCAGTGTATACACTTTGTTAAGGCATTAAATCTTGTTTTAAATTGTTTTTGCAACTGCCATGATCACCTTTGCAATGATTTATATCAAGCACTCTTCCTGATCTTGCAAGAAGAGTTGAAAAAAGGAACATTTTAAAATGTCTGGTAGGGCCGAGTAATAATTTTAGAGTGTAACACACTAGATGCATGAGTACTGACAACTGAATTTATTGTATGTACTCTCATTTGGCTATTTGAAATTTTTAAAAAATTTGAAATCCTGTCCTATTAGAACTACAGGTCGACAGGAATTTCTTAGGGTCAGTCAAGTAACTAGAATCATGCATATTTTTATGTGGCCTAAGTCTAGAAAAGAAATATAGCTTTGAAATAAAATTAAAAGTAGGTATTCTGAACATGATTTTATTTTTAACATAAAGATAAACTTGTAATGCTTTGTTTCATCTAAAAACTTTACAAAACCACAAATTTTAAATTCAAGATTTAGTTACTTACCTAGCTGTTGCTGTGTAGTCTCTAACACAGACTTGTGAAACTCGTGTACAAAATCTTTGGCTAACTTTTTCGTTTTTTTGTCTGATTGTGTGGGATCACCTATGATGACCACTCTCCGATCTTTAGAGTCACCCCTTTGCCCAACTGCAGGACTGTGGTGATGAGGTATCGCACTAACCCCTGGTATGTCATATTTTGTCAACAGCTCTGTTTCATATAAAAAATATTAATACATAAGAATTTCATTAAATTAATATTGAATTTAAAGTTAAATGCCAGGAAATAACTAGTAGTCACATTATTAAGATAAAGTTTAGTACATTTTGTTTTTCAAAATTAACCCTTTCATGACTAATACAATTAAATAAGTTTGATTTTATGAAAAAGAAGAAATAAATCATCATTAAACTTAACTGCAGTTTAAATAATTGTCTATTTTTAAATCACTTTTTTGCAAGTGATTCTTTATACTTATGTTTTCTGTGTGTGATTAGTAAGCCTACAAGAAATCATACTCAGCTTGTTATAATGGTAGACCTATGTAAAATAATGCAAATAATTGTTAGGTGTAAACATTAGCCATATTTAATAGTTTGTCCTTCATCTTCTCTAACTATGGATCAATCATGTTACTTTGTAAGCCTCACACACCCAGAGTGCATAAAATGTCACTTATACCAAACAAATTGTAAAAGGAACAATTTGCATGAAAATCATATAATAAACTTGCAACACTGGGTTTTCAAAAGAAAACAATATCCTGGGCTTAAACAATTGGTTAAAGTTCTCCAGATCTGACAGCATTTTGAAATGTCTTGTACTGGCACATAGTACCAGGTTAACTATCATAAGAACTTTTGTGAAAATAATATATTAAAAGGGAATCAACACAATCAATTTAATTTTCTTTATGAATAGAGAGTTGACTTCACCCAAAATATAAAATTCTTTAAGAGTATATATACAAGTTTCATCATGTGCTAAATCACTAACAAAAACTGTTCATATTGTTTTTCACCTTGCTGTACAGTGCTATCTAGACAATTTGATAAAGATGTTTGCCACTGCTGCATCTGTTTAGCAAACATTTGGTTCACATAGCTTTTTATCTCGGAAACTGATGTAAGTTTTTACTCGTGCGGGTAGTCTGACTCTAATTGCGTGACCACATGCAAACTTGCATGTATCTTCAATGTTCAAAATGTTAATTATGATAAATCAATCTCCCTACTTGATATGACACCAACTGGTAGTATGCAGTCATACATTAATGGTCTGATGTTTCCATATTGCTTACATTTTCTTGTTCATGCCTTGTACCCATTCCATAAGCTCTTGATACACATTTGACCAAATTACATGCTTGTTTGCTTGAATTTCACACAAAGCTACACGAGGGCTATCTGCGCTAGCCATCCCTAATATAGAAGTGAAAGACTAGAGGGAAGGCAGCTAGTCATCACCACCCACTGCCAACTCTTGGGCTACTCTTTTACTAACAAAAAGTGGGATTGACCATCACACTATAATACTTCCACAGCTGAAAGGGCGAGCATGTATGGTGGGACAGGGATTCGAAACCACAACCCTCAAGTTGCGAGTCAAGCAACCTAACCACCTGGCCATGCCGGGTCCCAAACTACATACATATATTAACAAAAAAAAGACTAATAATCCAAATCTATTTTTCATTTTTTGTGCTTGTATAAACAATGTTAACAATGATTTTTCAATATAAAAGTTTATTTCCCATATATTTCAACTTTGTTCTTTATTGGAATAAAATATACAAATCAGTGTAAGCCATTTTCAAAGCCAGTCAAACTAGGCAGCTTTTTCTAACGAGCTATTAAATTTCTATCCTTTAGATTTAACAACAATAAAAAGTCACCATTAGTTTGCCAAAGTCTAATTTTTATAGCCTTTAATGTTCTTTGTTTATGGAGAAATAAACTAGAAAATCAGACCCAATTGCCATGCCCACTTTCACATCCTCTCTTTCACAAATTGCTAAAAATTCTCTCTGACATTTCATATCATATGTAACCAACAGAAAAATAAAGTTTTAATCTATCAAATGACATATAATATTACGTTTTTCAGTACAGAATACTGTCTGTTTTATCTTCAGTTTGAAAGTTTCTCTCCCAGTGTTCGGACCATTGTAACTAAGGCATAAAAGCTTTAAAATAATTTCCTTAACTCCAAACCTGTTAACCCTATAATTATGGGTACCTCTGTACTGGGCATGTCATGAAATTTTACTTTGTTACATTCAAAATTTAAATAAGCAATCTTAATATCAATGTATACCAATGAAACTAGCATTAAAATTTACATTACATATCAAAGTTTTATACCATCTATGTTTAATTCCTATATTTCAAAAGAAACCTTAAAGAAAAATCCTTAAAAAATAGTTCTTTCTGTACAATATAAATTTACATATAGACAGAAACTAGGTTAACTGCTCTGTATACACATTCTACTTTCAAGCCCCTTATGGGACATTAATAGGGGAAAGAAAATAAATTTATTGGAACTCTTGATAGATGGGACTCCCACTCTCTACACATACAGTTGCAATTTCTCATCCAATTATACTTTGTTGAGCTATATGTTTGTAACCAATAGAAAGACCATATTTTAAAATACTATTTCCCAACAGTTATTTAAAATTGGTGCAAAGAATTCCATAGAGAATTTATCAAAGGCTCTTAGCGTTGTTGCTGCTTGTGTCCACACTAGCATCTTAGCATTATTTCCTCACCTTTAAATATGTCAGTTAGATAGACAATTAAATTTTATTTGGGTTTTAGTTTTATATTTTAGTTAATTCTGTGTTAGTTATGTTTTAAAATGCATGTTAGAAAATTTAATAATTTTCTAAAACATAAGCCTAACTGCCTCGTTTTTTTAGGCTTAGTGTAGTAGGAAATGTCCCAACTTTCTGACAATGGCTGAAGTGTTGCTGGCAAGTAAACTCCAAGAACACCTGTTGAAGTGTGTTGTGATAAGTAATAATGCTAAAGGATAGAAAAGGAAAATAAAACATCAAAAATAAACTTTTTCTGAAAAATTAAGATTATAAAATAAGAAGATTTTGAAGATTATTAAACAAAAAATTCAAAGGTATGTACATTTTTTCTAATTTTATACATTTCAATTCACAATAGGTTGATGATAATATTTAAAATATTGAGAGTCTGAGTGTAAATAACTATGATATCAAAAAGCAAATATTTAAAACAATTTTATTTTATGTGTACAAAATACTTTAATCTTTAACCAAATCTTACCAACTGTTGTGAAGATATATTAAGAGTTATTGTAAGTATTGTTGAACTATGTATTATTCTCCATACGAGAAGTAGCCAAATGGGTTCAACCCTGCAACCATAAGGTTAAACTACAATAGTTATAGGACACTGTTTGTGTTGTGCAGATTATTATTATATATTCTTAGATGATATTCTTTAAATAAATAAAGATCATTTAATGTACTATTACCATCATTACAAAAAATGTTCGCTTAAATTTCATAAACAACTGACATAAAAAAAACAAGTCAAACTAAGTGCTATATTTCTTGTTTTTCCTGTATATTTTGTATTTATTGTTATAAAAGTAACTAAAATGTAAAAATTAGAAATTTATCAGGTTAAATTAAGTAAAATAATGGGAGAAAAAAAAACCCTCTATGAAGTATGCTCGCTAGTAGCTTGTGTATTATATCATTCAATACAGCAACATTAGGTATGCATTTGCAGAGTGATTTACAACTTGTATGGCAGGATTATTCATTAGACACAGTTCAAAGAGCAATAAAATTAGTTAGAAACAGGTGTAAATTGTTACAAGCCTTAAGCTGTTTCGGATAAACAAATATAGATTACTGTTACAATTTGCAGGCATTCTAAAAAGAATAAAAATGTAACTTAGATTTATCTCACATTTCTTTATGATGGTCACAAGGTCAGTCAAATTGACCAAGTCCATAAAGAATTAGAGTGGAGAAAATAACTGATAAAATAATGGCTGGAGACGGCTTGAATGGGTAATGAAGAAAAACTTTAATATAAGTTTAACATAACATCAAATGTACAACGTTTTGACAAGGTTTTGTCATCATCAGGTACAAGTAATTTACACTGACACGGATATATATATTAAATAATTAGATAATAATATAATTAGATGTTGATTGCTCTAAGTGTAAAGTGATTTTCATGTTAATGTAAAAATACCTTTCTTCACCTACAAATTTTTAGATTTCATTTATACAACCTCTAAAGCCTCCTAAATAAGTATCAAACTTA